TTATTGAGGTGTCTTTTCAAGAATAATACTAGAAAAAAGATTAAAGAGCAAATAATAACATAGTGGCATGTTATATTGTCATCACAATTTTTATTGGATACACCACATTTTAAGTGCAGTCAAACTCTCCAATCTTTGCTCATTGTAGCAATTATTTCTTTAGTTTTTTTTCTTTTTTTTTTCCTATCGAACTCTTAACTTCAATCTTCCATTAATTAGTACTTCTCATCATCGGTGATGATTAATATCATAATATTTTGTTTTCATGCTTTGAAATGAGGAAAAAATATGTATTAGGATTTTTTATTTATTTAGATTTTAAAGATATGATGAGAAAATAAGTTGTTTTACACCATTTCAACAAACTTTTGGACATAAAAACTGTTATCAAATATAAAATATGTTAACTAATAGAAAGTTTGAGCATAAGAATGATATGAAAATTATTACAGATATAAATGCTATAATGAGTAAATATTAAGAATCTTAAATACAATTAAAGATGGTGCAAGAAATGAAAATTGTGGTGTTAATATAATTACTCGAACAGAATTTAATCGATAATCGCTAACAATATTACATTTGATTGAAATCAATATTTGTCTTCAACTCATTCAGAATTATCGACACCAATATTGTCGCAACTATCTATACACCATTGTAGGTAACTATTGACGATAATATAGTCGTGATGTTGTCATCAACCAACAACTGTTCGTCGATCGCTAATCGCCAACTAAAAAAGTTGGTAACACTAACAAAATTTTATTCTTCCTTTTTTTTTTTTTTTTTATGGTTACCAAAAGGTTTAGTTCAATTAGCTTATTTTTCATAATTTTTTTAGCTATTATATTGGTTAGTATTTAACTTTTTTACATTTTATTACTTTATTTGTTGGCAAAATCTTGTGGATAAATTAAATTCATCAAAATGTTTATGTTTTAATATTACCAACTATAAAACAATTTTAAACTTTAATTATTCTTTCAGCTGGTAATAATTTCTTGTGATTATCTCCTAAATCTGATGATTTAGTCAAAGGATCAAGGATTAAGCTGTCTAATTAATTACTATCAATGTTCAACATTTGATTCCATGCCATATGCTTGTTTCTACTTTCTATGACAATACCATTCTATATTTAACTTTTTATAACATTTACAATATCTGGTTTTTAGGGTTGTTTCAATGTGACGTTTCTAATTTCTTTTATGTAAAATCAGGTCTCTCCCTCTAGATTTCAACATCAATAATAAAAGATGGATGATGAGGAACTTTTCCGGCTATAGAGACAAACCAAGAAGGGAGCGAAATGGTTGGATGATAATAATTTGTGATCTATCCGGTTTACTCGTTGCAATAGTCTCTAAGATCATGCCATTTGTCCCATCTTCGGGCTCAAGTCGCGTTTAACGATCAAACCTTGGTGCGTGGCTCATTCTCCAGCCTAATGGTGACTTGGTTAGTAGCCTGAAGCCGTGGGGTTGTTTTGAGGCTTGGCGCGAAAAGAGGGTTGGTCGATGGCTTAGGTTACAAGTTTGAGCTTGTAACCGACAACAACCTAACTAGTGGAATCCCCGTTGCCGAAAGCACGATGCAATCTGTTGACAATAATGTACAAATAATATTATTCTTTATTTTATATATATCTTGTAAGATTCACAACATATAATCACTTAAAATTTAATTTAATCACTTCCCAAGTCCAAGCATGCACTAATTTTCCTTTCCTCTGAAGGAAAACAATTTTTCTTCCACGAGAAATGTAGAAGTACATTTGGTCTGCCATTTTTCTGTTTTTAGTTTTCAAAAATGCCCAAAACGTATTTGGTCTGTCATTTCCGAAAATGCATTTTCGGAAACAAGGAAAAACTTATAACTGAAAACTCAAAACGATTTTATTTTTCCATTTTCAGTATTTTCAGTTAAAAAACTCAAAACGCGGAAAATTCTCAAAACACTTCGTTTTCTTTTTTCGTTTTTATTTATACCAAGGGGATGCTCAGTGATACTTTTAAAATAAAATATTGTAATATAATACAATTTAGTGAAGCATAATAATTTTAAAACCACAACATCTTTCAATTTTCATTATTTTTTTCGTTGATCAAAATTTAGAAAAACTATTATTTCCTTTTTTACTGTTCAAGTGACCGCAAAATACATTCAGAAGGATGAAGGACGTACTAGCTATTTTCTTTACAACGATTCTTATTTTTGGTCTAGAAATTTATTATTTTATTTTGTAGCAAGAAAAAATATTAAATTCACCAAGTTTAAAATATATATTATTTGGTAATATATTAGCATAAAATTATTATGTTTTACTAAATAATCAAACTAATTGAATAAATGTCATAAAATAATTTCTAAAAATTTTAAACAAAACATATTTTCTAGTTTTTCTATTTTGAAAAATCGTTTTTTAAAATGGCAAATCAAATAAATTTTCTGTAATTTGAAAATAGTATTTCAAAACAGAAAACGAAAAATGAATTTAAAACTGAAAATAGAAAATGAAAATACAAACCAAACACGCCCTATATTTTTTTCTTATTTTCCCTCTCTTCTACCGAAAACATCCCTTAGGACCCAAATTTTCCTGTTTGGTTTTAGTGTAATTATATTGCCGGCCTAAGGGTACTCGTGTAACATCAGTACTGAGAACTAGATTCAACGCTAGTCAAAACAACTGGCCCAGAAACCCGCACAAGAATCCAAATAATCGCTAACAATATTACATTTGATTGAAATCAATATTTGTCTTCAACTCATTCAGAATTATCGACACCAATATTGTCGCAACTATCTATACACCATTGTAGGTAACTATTGACGATAATATAGTCGTGATGTTGTCATCAACCAACAACTGTTCGTCGATCGCTAATCGCCAACTAAAAAAGTTGGTAACAATAACAAAATTTTATTCTTCCTTTTTTTTTTTTTTTTTTTTTTTTTAAAAAAAAAAAAAAAAAAAAAAAAAAAAAAAAAAAAAAAAAAAAAAAAAAAAAAAAAAAAAAAAAATTTTTTTTTTTTTTTTTTTGTATTTAACTTTTTTACATTTTATTACTTTATTTGTTGGCAAAATCTTGTGGATAAATTAAATTCATCAAAATGTTTATGTTTTAATATTACCAACTATAAAACAATTTTAAACTTTAATTATTCTTTCAGCTGGTAATAATTTCTTGTGATTATCTCCTAAATCTGATGATTTAGTCAAAGGATCAAGGATTAAGCTGTCTAATTAATTACTATCAATGTTCAACATTTGATTCCATGCCATATGCTTGTTTCTACTTTCTATGACAATACCATTCTATATTTAACTTTTTATAACATTTACAATATCTGGTTTTTAGGGTTGTTTCAATGTGACGTTTCTAATTTCTTTTATGTAAAATCAGGTCTCTCCCTCTAGATTTCAACATCAATAATAAAAGATGGATGATGAGGAACTTTTCCGGCTATAGAGACAAACCAGGAAGGGAGCGAAATGGTTGGATGATAATAATTTGTGATCTATCCGGTTTACTCGTTGCAATAGTCTCTAAGATCATGCCATTTGTCCCATCTTCGGGCTCAAGTCGCGTTTAACGATCAAACCTTGGTGCGTGGCTCATTCTCCAACCTAATGGTGACTTGGTTAGTAGCCTGAAGCCGTGGGGTTGTTTTGAGGCTTGGCGCGAAAAGAGGGTTGGTCGATGGCTTAGGTTACAAGTTTGAGCTTGTAACCGACAACAACCTAACTAGTGGAATCCCCGTTGCCGAAAGCACGATGCAATCTGTTGACAATAATGTACAAATAATATTATTCTTTATTTTATATATATCTTGTAAGATTCACAACATATAATCACTTAAAATTTAATTTAATCACTTCCCAAGTCCAAGCATGCACTAATTTTCCTTTCCTCTGAAGGAAAACAATTTTTCTTCCACGAGAAATGTAGAAGTACATTTGGTCTGCCATTTTTCTGTTTTTAGTTTTCAAAAATGCCCAAAACGTATTTGGTCTGTCATTTCCGAAAATGCATTTTCGGAAACAAGGAAAAACTTATAACTGAAAACTCAAAACGATTTTATTTTTCCATTTTCAGTATTTTCAGTTAAAAAACTCAAAACGCGGAAAATTCTCAAAACACTTCGTTTTCTTTTTTCGTTTTTATTTATACCAAGGGGATGCTCAGTGATACTTTTAAAATAAAATATTGTAATATAATACAATTTAGTGAAGCATAATAATTTTAAAACCACAACATCTTTCAATTTTCATTATTTTTTTCGTTGATCAAAATTTAGAAAAACTATTATTTCCTTTTTTACTGTTCAAGTGACCGCAAAATACATTCAGAAGGATGAAGGACGTACTAGCTATTTTCTTTACAACGATTCTTATTTTTGGTCTAGAAATTTATTATTTTATTTTGTAGCAAGAAAAAATATTAAATTCACCAAGTTTAAAATATATATTATTTGGTAATATATTAGCATAAAATTATTATGTTTTACTAAATAATCAAACTAATTGAATAAATGTCATAAAATAATTTCTAAAAATTTTAAACAAAACATATTTTCTAGTTTTTCTATTTTGAAAAATCGTTTTTTAAAATGGCAAATCAAATAAATTTTCTGTAATTTGAAAATAGTATTTCAAAACAGAAAACGAAAAATGAATTTAAAACTGAAAATAGAAAATGAAAATACAAACCAAACACGCCCTATATTTTTTTCTTATTTTCCCTCTCTTCTACCGAAAACATCCCTTAGGACCCAAATTTTCCTGTTTGGTTTAGTGTAATTATATTGCCGGCCTAAGGGTACTCGTGTAACATCAGTACTGAGAACTAGATTCAACGCTAGTCAAAACAACTGGCCCAGAAACCCGCACAAGAATCCAAACCCGGAATAAATGTTCGATTCGCATAAATTCACTATTTCCCTACTTTCCACTCCGAAAAATCTAACTCCACGCTACTCGCCAATATTCCCAACTGTAGAATGACAATTTACTACCGTCGTTCAGCCATAATCCTTCTTAATTCTCTGTAAATAACGTTCTATTGGAGAGTACTTTGGTCATTTGATATGTAGACGGCTCGACAATAAAATAAAGAGGAAACCTTTACCTTCTCTTTCTTCTTCTCATTCGTTAGAAAACACGCACTTACACTCTGGAGTGGTGTCGTAATCTGGCCATGGAGATGAATAAACAGAGCTCAAAAGCTCTGGAAGAAACGGAAATGGGGAATTTGAAGCCTAACAAGGAAGAAGAAGTGCTAGAGAAAATTGGGAAAAATGATGAACAGATTCGAGGAAGTAGTTATTCTACAGTTCAGAAAACTTCAATTGGAGTAGCAAAAGAATCAAAAGATTCTGAATTTGAAGTTCTTCCGTCCGCACAAATATCGGAGAGTGATGTCCAATCCAATTTTAGTTTCTCCTCTGAACATCTCTCCGGTACCTCTGATTCGTCCTCTTATAACCGTGATATTTTGTTTTTTTATAATTTTTAAATGAAATTTTACGATCAATTTTGTGTATGCATGTATATACGTTAGAGTAACGCGTAGTGATTGTGATGAATTTTTGTTGGCAGAGGTGCCGGTGAAATATACTCTGCAACCGCTAGTCTCGGATGATGAATTAAAGGTTAGCAGCAAGTTGCGCGGTCCTTTTGTCAAATCATTTCAGATTAATTTTGATTGTTGGGTTTTTCTTCCGATAAATTTTATTGGATTGCAATTGTTCTTATCTCAAATGTTGCCTTGAAAGTGAGTTGGATTAAGGTATTGACTATAGACTCTTGATTTGAGTAATTTGACATAAAATCGATAAGCTATGTGGAAGTGGATTGAATAAGAACGTAGAATGAGAATATGCTTTGTGTGAATGGATATTCAATAAGCTAATTGTACTCCGTGGGTTGAATATTGGATGTCTTCTTTTTCTTTTGGAATGGTTAAGATGTGTTTTAGCTTTCCTTATGATAATTCTGTACCTATTATACTATTACTACCATTACAAGAATTCTGCATTTGTTCGTTACTAACCTACAAATTTAGAAACTTGTATCCCCTCTTGTTTTGTTCTTATCGTATAGAGTTTGAATGAGTTCTCAAAGTATGTCTTAGTTGAATACAGGTTTCATGGTTTTGTTAGTTTGTTGTAAATGTATGTAATATGGCTCACCAAGCTCGTGATGGCTAACTAGATTAAGCTCTAGTCTAAAATACAAAAAGCTAATGCTAAATGACTGTTTGTGGATGGCTTTATTTGCTCTAGTCTGGAAGTGCCTTTTCGTTGACTTCCATTTGGCATATCAATCAGACTTTTTTATACTGAAATGGTTGCAAAGTTGGATGGCTAACTAGATCGACCTTTCGTATGAATCTTTTTTTCTCCAAATAAATAAATAAATAAAAAGGAGACGGCATGTGGCTTATTAGAACTTATGCTTTTTTTGTTTATACATAGAGCGAGTCTGTCGTTGAGTTAATGCGTGGTCTATATATATATATATATATATATATATAACAGAGGCACTCTTCAACATCTTAGATAATAGTGGATTTGATATCATAATTTCATCTTCCTATTCTTAATTATCTCAGGATCAAGTAAGAGTAACCCTCAAGGAACATTTGATTGGTAATACTGGTCAATCTGCCCATGTTGAGACACACAATCAGATAACGTTACCTGATGGTCCGTCCAAGTTGAGTCTCTCCCCAACTTCCGTTCGAGAGAGCATTTCGCCAGGTCCAAGTTCGGCTTTACAAGAAAGAAAATTGTCACCTACAGAGAACGGAAACAACTCATGTCTGGCAGAACAGGACAGGCAGAATTCTTCAAACCCAAAACTGTTATCCGCACCAAAGCCGAAGACATCTGCTGATGGGTACAATTGGCGAAAATATGGTCAAAAACAAGTAAAGAGTCCTGAAGGTTCTCGGAGCTATTACAGATGCACATTTTCTGACTGTCATGCCAAAAAGATTGAGTTCTGTGATCAGTTTGGCAATGTCATTGAGATTGTGTACAGAGATCACCACAATCATGATCCGCCTCAAAAAGTAAATTGCAACAGGGAAAGCAGGCATGCGTTACCAGTTGTGCCAGCCAATGGGAGTGACAATGCAGCTTGTCCAGTAAATGCTATTAATGATTCCGACATGGAAAAACCTGTAATGGAGATGGCGCAGTTACCTGAGACAAATCGGCAGGACGCAACTAATTCTGATGAGATCGTGGAAATTAGTACCAAGGAAGAACATGTTAATGAAGTTGAACATAAAAAAAGGCAAGTTGTTGATTAAGTGACAGCCATTGTCTTTCAGTTTAGGTTACCTATGTTTCTTTTCCTGATGATAGTTCCCTAGCAGATAGATCTGATACTATTTCACGTCTTTGAATTGCCAGGCAGGAGAAGAGTGTCACCAGTGATATGTTAACCATCGCCAAACCTGGAAAGAAACCTAAAACTGTTGTTGAAGAGGCTGGTGATGTGGGGATATCAGGAGATGGCTACAGATGGCGCAAGTATGGACAGAAGATGGTGAAAGGGAACGTTCACCCAAGGTGAATTCCCAGCTTTCTATATTACATTACGACACTATCTCATAGATTAGATTTATTTCATTAATTTTTTTCCCTAACTGCTCAGTTTTCAAGAACTATTGGAAACTTCAATATAGTCTGCATTTATGATAGATTCTGTCAAACTCCTCCACGTCTCTGTCTCTTCTGCACATCAACCCCAAATCACTTGCTTTTTTCTAATTTTTCATAATTTAAGGTCATTTTTCAAATTGGAAATTATTACAAGCCCGAGGTGCATGAGCGCTAACCTGCATAAATAATTACATTTCAAACTCACCTCCCTCCCCCACTCAAAAAATAAGGATAAGGAAAATAAAAAGCATGCATAGACATACTCAAATATATATGAGGTCATTATTAGTAGCAAGTCTTGTAGAGCATGACGCATGGTGGTAAAGATCTGTTAGTTCTACGTTTTGGGCCCTCGATTAACTCAACAGTTTGTAATGGTAAATATGGCATATACAACTTAGAAAAAATGAATCAAAGAAAAATGAAGATTAAAGTGAGGGAGAGATTATTAAAGCACAAGAAGGCACTGAATGTTTATTGTAGAATTTGAAGGGGACTCATCCTCCAAACAAGCTGGCTCTTGATCTATAAAGAACGTGCTTTTTTTTTTTTTTTTTTCCGAAACAAACTTGACTCCTCTAATCCATGTATTATAGAGAAATTCCCCTATGTAATGAGTTTTTATGGGTATCCAAAAAAATAAATAATAATAATAAAATAATAAAATAAAATAAAATAAAATAAAATAATAATAATAATCATAATAAATAATTAGAGCTTCCTAAAGAATAATGGGGTGTCTTTTTAGTCATTGATTATTTCAAAATAATATTCATTTCTTTGAATAGCACACTTGAAATCTCTGTATTCTTTCTTTTCTTTTCTTGTGATTAATACATAAGTTTATCTGATTTCTGGAAAACGTTCTGTTAGAATGACCCCTCCAACCTTGATCTCCATAGTAAAATAACTAAATTTTACTTTGACAACATTGCATACAACTCAGCGACTGCGGATTGCAGGTTCTGTTAATTAGAGAAGGCACAGTAGAGTAGATTTCTGGACATGGACTCTCAATGTAAATATTTAAACAGTACTTAGTGAATCTTTAGAGAAAATACATATTCATAGCAATGAATGCTACAGAATCCATGCATAACTATTTTAGGTATTATCACTTTATAAAAAGATTATTGTTGTTGGCGGTTCACATATGTATCTCTTTGACGTTAAATTTCATAATTGATGTTATTTAGANGAGAGAGAGAGAGAGAGATAGAGAGACAGAGAGAACAAACAAATATAATATTGGATGAAGGCTTCCAGCAGTCTCATTTTTAAAGAAAAAAGGTCGGAAAAGAGGGTCTGGTGTACTCTTCTTAGAAGGTTGGCTTTCGTGAGTTTAGCCCTAAATCCCTGCTCAGAAGAGGTCGCTATAATAATAAACGAACAAAACTTTCCATAAAAATGCATGTTCTGTCTTTCCTTGGAATTATAATTGACCATCAGTGCGCTCAAGTTGACTCTAGTTTAATATCAGAACAACATGATGGTAAGACTGAATGGTGAAGTTGGCTAGGGCCTGTCTGGTAACGATTCTAGGCAGATTTTTAGAAATTTTTTTACCGTTAATGAGCCCCACATCTGCAAGAAAAGTGGCCAAAAAAGGGATAGTTGCAGCAGCCGCCTTTCAGAAATCATTTGAATTGTCAAAATTATCCTTGTGTCAGATAAAAATAATAACAATGTAGGGACAAGATGGTATTTTCACCTAAATTTCTACCTGAATGGTTGGTGAAGTCAAAGTTTGCTGCCATTGTCTGGGCCCCATTTACTGTAGCCAACGGACGAATTTTTGCTTATAATTCGGCAAGAATCCCTCCCAGACAGCACCAAAATTTATCTTTTATCATGCATAAGATGCTCTTTCCACATCTTGAACAAAGAGAGGGATATCTGCAACTAGTTTACAACCTGTAGACAGGTGCAAATTAAATAAAATGAGAAGGAAAAAAGGCCTCTGTCTGGAGTTCGAGCTATGATCCTGTTTACAACTTTAGACGGCTGCCTTTCTACAATCACATCACTACCTCTAACCTAGACATATTTTTCCTGATCTTCTCTGACATAATAAGAAAATGAGAATTTATTGTACATATCAGTTCATCTCTTGTGATCTGCACTGAGTTTAATCCATTTCACCTTGTTCAAGACAAGCTCAAAATTGTACATTCTGTAAGTGAATCTTAGAATAGTAAAGCAAAAGGCTAATGTCAACAGTAGAATCTGGCAAATCAAGCCTAATAAAACCTGAGCTTGAAGACTTCCATCACGTGACTGACCTCAACTATGACTTGATCATAAATTGGAGGATTCTTTAGTACTTTGCGGCATGTAAAAAGTACACGGTGAATGGAGAGGTTCATCCAACTTCCTCTATTCTGAACCTTGCATTGTAATCCTAATGTAAAATTTATTATTTGGATTATGTCTGTAATTTAGAAGTCTTGACCTTTATGCTGAGATTAGGAATTATATTATCCAGGAACTACTACAGATGTACATCAGCTGGATGTCCTGTTCGAAAGCACATTGAAAGGGCAACAGATAGTTCAAGTGCAGTAATAGTATCATACACAGGAGAACATGATCACGACATGCCAGTTCCAAAGAAAACTCGTGGGCCAACGAGCGATTCTCTTGTTGCTACTGCTTCTCCTGGTCCCATGAACAATTTGCAAATTTCTGAAACTGAAGTATAACTGAATAAGAAATCTACTAAAAGTTTGGGCATTGAATCTGGGTGAGAGAGAAAAGTGGGATCTGATCAAAAGTGAATGTGCGCTTCAAAGTGGGTGAACACCACTGGAAGAGTAGATTATTGATGCAACTCTCTTAATGGAAGTACGTAACTTCAAATAATCTTATTTGATTCTTTGCTCTTTCTTTTTCCTTGTATTTTTAATTTTTTTAGCTTTAGAATCGGTAATTCGGAATAGGTTGGTTGTTGTGGTAGTGCTTGAAACTGATTTTGGTTGACTTTGTACACATTATCGTGGATCAAATGAATTAGGTGTTTTTGACCAAAGGTATTATATGTGCAAAATAACACAAATCGGTGGTGGCAAGATTTGAATTCTTTTCATTGCTTTGATATCATGTTAATCAAATCATTTTAAAGTTCCAAGTTATTAGAGAGAGGTAATAGGTAATAAAATAAATCTTGTCTTAGCCATGGACGAGGATGGGTTTCTTGCTGATGCAACATGCATGTCGATTGCAAACACGGTGTGGATTCTTATATGTCGATTGCAAATGGTATATTGAACATGCCTGTATGAATTCAAGGATTTTGGATTTATGCATTTCATCTGCTTTTCTTTTCTTTTCTTTTTTGTCTTCTTTTTGTTTATTTTGTTTTATTGTATATATCAAAGTTTTCAAAAGTCTCAATTGAATACACTCCCTAAGATGACTATTTTGATATGTCCACATGATAGCGAGAAATGTTTAAAATTCAATAAAATATGAAATACATGGAGACAAACAACGTAGAGATTTGCATTGAAAAACTTCGAAAGAAAAAAAAA